ACTCAAAAGCCATCAACAACAACACCACAACAAAATAATGAGACAAAACTGCATCACAAAAATCCTCCTCTGGAAAAGTCTATTTTCGTGAGATCACAGGTTCTGAAAAATGGCAGCAATTTCTCTTCTTCAGGATTTTCTCTTGGGCCATTGGATGGTAGTACTTGTGGCCAGAGGGGCAGGCCGGGCTATTATTCACTTGAAAACAAGCAAACAAACCTAGCAGCCTTGGAGTAGGCTCCAACTTATGATTATTATCCTCTGCGTGTCCATTGGGTCTTCACTGGCTGAATTTTGGGAAGTAAATTTTGCCAGGCCATTTTTCCAAGGTGCCTCTGAGTGGATTCGAACCTCTAACCTTTCTGTTTGCAGCCAAATACATTAACGGTTTGCCTACCCAGGGACTTCTATCATTTACTACCTTTTAAAAAGAACCCTCTCCTCCTCCGGTCTTCCTCCACAAAATTGGGAGGATTTGGTAGACAGGCTGGGCTGAGCCCCACTCTCCTCTTGGGCTTCAGGACTGCAGGCCATGATTGTGGAGCCCTGTGCTGGTCAGATGGGGTGTGGTTGGGTTCTGATGCCCAAGGCTGTGTTCCTGGGTTGGCCCTGCCAGTGTTTCCTGCAGGCATTCTTCTCACGTGAAGGACTAACACCCTCTACTGGACTAGAGAAAGTCCAGGTTCTCACACTCTACCATTTCCAGGACAGGGTCTGAGAGGAAGAGCTGCCTTCTCTTGCTCTGGGTCTCCAGGAAACTTGGAGATTTGTAGCCTGGGGAACACTCCCTGATATAAATACCCAGTCACCACTCCTCTGCCTAGCTTTGTCTTAAGAGGGTGAGTGGGACCTTAATCTGTGAATGGAACGAGGGTAATCACTGAGTACACAAGCAGCTGCTTCTCAGATGGGGCTGGTTCCAGAGCTATGGGCCTCCAGGCTGACCAGACCCTGCCCTCAGGGATCCCCAGTCTGAGGGGAGACACAGCCCTGCCCTCTGGGAGCCCCAGTCTGAGTTGGTAAGACACAGTTCTGCTTTCAGGGAGCCCCATTCTGAGTTGAGGATAGACACAGCCCTAGGAGACCAGCAGGGCAGCTTGTCCACTGGGGTCAGTGAGGTGAGGTGAGATGATCTATGCCGTTTGGGGGGCCAGCCTGCAAATTGGGGGCAGCTCAGAGCTTCTGCTGATCTCAGGCATACTATATGAGGTATACTATATGAGGCAGGTCTTAGGTTTTACCCAACTTAGGGGTACCTGGAGATGCATAAGGTGTTGAGCCAGTGATGGGCTGCTGGGACAGGGGAAGGAAGGGATTTACACTTTCCCAGGAAGTTTAGCTAGAAAGTCAACAGATAGGAAGGATATGAGGGGGAACTTGGACAGGATGGGTGGGCTGGGGTCTGTGTGGTTCTGGGTGAGGCTCTGCTCCCTTAGGGTCTCACTTCTTTCTCTATGGAAGAACCTGGTGCTTTGTTTTTTCTCTCCTCATTCTGCAACTAAGCACACTCATGCAAGCTCATAAGCTGGCCACTTCATGTCTTTGTAGCATCCCCACCTCCCCATTTTTTATAGATTTCTCGTCCCTAGCAACCCAATACACAGAGGAAACAAGGTTCTTCCTTGATATGAAGAACCCTTCCATTCTGGTTGGGGTTTTGAGTCACGGTGTTCATAGGCTGGAGTCTAGTTGGTCAAATTGTAGCAATTTGCACTAGCTTTCTGTATCAGATATCTTTATCATGCTTGGTTCCAGCTCTGGCCAACTAGCCACCCAAGTTAAGTCAAATGAGAACCAGCTGCAAGTTTGGGAGTTCACGTACACCTCCCTGCACTTCTGACCAGCTGGCCACTTCACTCTCAGCCTTCTCCCCGAGGGGCTAGGTCAGTGCCCATGGGCTCAAGAGTTCACACATCTTCCTAAACTTCAGAGAATCTGGTGTTTTTTTAAGATTCAGCTCTGACACTGGATGGCTCTAAGTGGGGAGGAGTCAACTGAGTACCAAGCCTGACCTCCCCAACACCCTTGGAAGGCAGATGTGGTCATCCCTACCTCACACATCTCAGAGGGTTACATTCCACAGATCACAATTGCAGATTGGGGACCCAAGAGTCTTCTCTCTATTCTACCCATCCTCTGCACAGGAACGTAGCAAGCGGGTCACTTGGGATATTGTGCTGGTAAGAGAGGATTCAGGGACAGTCCAAAAGCCAAGAAGCTCTGAGTGTGGAGACTCCCAGCCTTGAGGGGACCCCCAGCTTGGGGCTTAGTTGTGGGAGGGAACATTTTAGAAACTGTGGGCTGCTAAGTGGTGCTCTCACATGGGGGACATGAACTCCAAGCTGATGAGCCAACACCATCCAACCTGCCCCTTGCTCCAGTACCCCTCCCACAGCCAGCTAACACTTACCTATTATCCCACCTAGCCAGGCCCTGAGCTAGGAGCTGCAGGCGGAGAGCTGAGTGGGCTTGTCAGGGGACGGGCACTTCAGTATTGCCCACTCCTACAACAGTCCATGTTTAACAGCAGCCAGGGTGCTGGGCAGTGAGCGCTATGCTGGGAAACGGACAATATCAGACGTGATGTTACCTGCCTCAGGCACTGATGCTGAAGGAATTGAGGGTTTAGTCTCCATCATTGTGTTTTCTATTTTTAGTTCGGAATATTCCACTACTTTTCACAGATTATTCTGTGTTTGTTGTACAACCAATTTTTGTGTGTGTTCTTTCTTTTGTCAGTCTTGATAGATGTTTGTCAATTTTATCGATCTTTGCATAGAACAAGTTTTTTGTTTGTTTCATTTATATTCTCTATTGTTCTTCTGTTTTCAATTTCATTGAATTCAGCTCTTATTATCCCCTTCTTTCTGCTTATTTTGGGTTTATTGTGCACTTCTTTTTCTAGATTCTATTCACAAGAGCAAAGAGATGGAAACAACCTAAATGCCCACGAAGGGGAGAGTGGATAAACAAATTCTGGTGACCACAGTTCTCTTGGGGACTGTTGTCAGTGCAGTCATGTGGTCTGTCTTGTTTTTCCAACTGGTTTGTGAATTCCCTGAGGGCACACAGTAAGCTCTGCAGGAAGTCAGCCTTTGCCCAGGTGTAATAATAATACCCCCCAAATCCCAGTGAACATGCAGTCAATTCTGACTCACAGAGACCTCATGTGTGTCAGGGTAGAACTGTGCTCCACAGGGTTTTCAGTGGTTGATTTTTTTCTGAACTAGATCACCAGGCCTTTCTTCTGAAGCACTGCTGGCTCCAACCTCTTGGTTAGCAGCCAAGCACATTAGCTGTTTGTGCTACCTAGGGACTCTGAGTAATAATAATGCTGTTGATGTTGTTGTTAAGTGCTGTTGAGTCGGTTTTGACTCATAGCAGCCCTGTCTGAGGTTTCTGAGGAGTGGGTAGTGAGAGTAATAATAATAGTTCATGTTTATTGCATATTTACTAGGTAAGGTCCTCTTCTAAGTATTTATATATATATTGTTTCACTGGTTCCTATATTAACTCCGTTTTACATATAAGGAAGCTGAGGCCTGGAGAGGTTAAGGAACTTGTCCAGAGAAAAACAGCTGGTTTGTGGGAGATCCAGAGCCAAACCCAGTGGTCCTGCCCTAATCAACATCCTGTACCACCGATGCCACCAGGGCTACCTGTCCAGGCTGCAGGGGTTGTGAAAATAGTGTCACCATAACCCAAGGAGGCCACCAGGTGCCGTCTTCCTGGAGTCTTCACCACACCAGAGGTTGACAGTTTTAGGAAAATGAACCAGAAAGGGCTTTTTAACCATACCAAAAGATGCTCAACCTCACTCGTAATACAAAAAAACAGGAAATGGAAACAGCCTGGCAGCACCATATTTCACTATCAGGTTGACAAAGACAAAAAGTTGGGCAGCACCCGGTGTGGGCGCAGCTGGCCCTGGTGGGGCGGGCGCTTTTAGGCATAGCTGTGGGGGTGCAGCCCCAACCCCCCAGAAGGATCACAGATGGAACTACCCTCTGATGCCGAGCTGCCTCTAGTAGACATTTTCTAGATATATACACACACACACTGCAAAATGACCCATGGGCAGGAAGACAGCATTTATTGCACTTCGAAAATGAGTTTGCCAGCAAGTTGATTCTGACTCATAGCCACCCTATACAACAGAACAGAACAGTTTACACTATACTGTAGTTTATTAAGGGGTGGTGGTGCAGTAGGGTATGAACAGTGCTACTCTGTAGGGTTCAGAGACGGGAAATCTTTACAGGAGCAGACAACCCCATCTTTCTCCCTCAGAGCAGCTGTGAGTTTGAAACACTAGGTTTTCAGTTCAGCACATACCCCATTGCGCCACCACTCTTTAATAAACCACAGTATAGTGTAAACATAAGTATATCAAGTTTGCATGAGCAGGAGACTGGGAAAATAGTTCACATGTCCATTGGTGGTTAGTGCCCACAGCCTGTTCACACAGCTCATTAGAGAAACCGAAGACTCTCCATGGGCAGAAATGAAAAAATCTCTCGAGAGATTGCTAAGGGAGAAAAGAGATTCAAGATAGTGTGTATATAATAGGTTCAAGCTGGAGGGGCCTTGGTCACCAGTGATTTGATGGGTGAGATGAGGTTGGAGAAGGGCTAAGGGGCTCAAGTCTGACAGTCACAATGCCCTACGACCTTATCCCGTTTCATCTGAGGCTTGTCAGCCAGGCCTGGGGCTGACAGCATTGTGTGGCTAGGTGAGTTTCTACACTCTCATTTCCAGGAGTCTTGGTTTAGCATCCACCTCTCTCCTCCAGAGCAAAAACTCCAGGAAGGCAGGGTTACTGGCTGTGTGTTCCATTTTCAGTGCCTGGAACTGTGGCTGGCACACAGTAGGTATAAAGTGAATATTTACTGTGTGTGTGAACAAATGAATGTGCTTGGCTTCCAAGGCAGGGGCTGGGAAGAAGTGGCTCTTGGTGAGAAGGCAGGAAGCCATTCTCAGGTTGTCTCTTTCTCCTCCAGCCGCATCAAGAGTAATGTGGATGGGCGGTACCTGATGGACAGTGTCCCGTTCAGCTGCTGCAACCCCAGCTCGCCTCGGCCCTGTATCCAGTACCAGCTGACCAACAACTCCGCACACTACAGCTATGACCACCAGACCGAGGAGCTCAACCTGTGGGTGTGGGGCTGCAGGGCCGCCCTGGTGAGCTACTACGGCAGCCTCATGAACTCCATAGGTACCGTCACACTCCTGGTCTGGCTCCTGGAGGTAGGCCTGAGCCAGCTGGGGGTGGGAGAACATACGGTACCACCATTCCCTTTGGGCTTTAACGGGGTACACCCAACATCCTTTTCTCAGGATCAGTCTTTGACCTGGCTATGGGTCAGACAGGCATGGCCTTGAATCCCAGCACCTCTATTTCATCCCCATCACTTAGAATACATTCTATTGAGGTGAAATTCACATAACATTATATTGCCGTTCTTGAGTTTGTATCAACTCACGGCGCCCCCATGTATGCAGAACGGAATTGTTCTGCAGGGTCTTCCAGGCTGTGGTCTTTTACAAACAGACCGTCAGGCCTGCCCTCCAAGGTGCCTCTGCCAACCTTCCAGCCAGTTGTTCAGCACCTGACCATTTGCATCACCCAGGAACTCTACATTAAACCATTTAAAAATTAACAATTTTCTGGCACTTAGTACATTCACAAACTGTGTAACTACCACTTGTATTTTGTTTCCGACATTTTCATCACCCAAAAGGACACTCCACACCCATTAAGCAGTTGTGACCCCCTCCTGTCTCCCACCCTTTGGGCCCTTGGCAACCACCAAGCTACATTGTTTCCATAGATTGACCTATTCTAGATATTTCATAAAAGTAGACTCATGCACTATGACTTAGCATAATGCTTTGGAGGGTCACCAGCCTCTCCACTTTTTGATTCTGAGATCTTGGCAAGTTTTTAACCTCTAAGTCATATACAGACAACAGCATTGAGCTTTGGGGACTCTTGGGATCCAACGGAGATGGTATATAACATTGTGGATGGTCAGCAAATGGGAACTATTTGGATTTGGGCTTCTCTAACAGACCTCCAACGAGCTGGACTGGCACAGTGGCAGCAGCAGTGGGCTCAAGCGTAACAATTGGAGGTTGGCGCAGGACCAAAGCATTTCATTCTGTTCATTCATTTGATTGCTGTTAGTCAGAACTGACTCAACGGCAGCTAATAACAACAGGAGATGCCAGAGGAGCCCTGGTGGTGCAGTGGGTTAAGCATTGGAATACTAACTAAAGGTTGGTGGTTCAGACCAAACAACTGCTTTGTGGAATAAAGCCTTTCAGCACTGGAAACCTCATGAAACAATTCTCCTTTGTCCTAAAAGGTTGTTATGGATCAGAATCCATTCAGTGCCAGTCACCTGTTATTCTGTTTGTAGGTTCATCTTCTCACATTTGTAAAATTCAAAAGACCCATAGCTTATTTCTCTGTGGAGTTACAGGGTTTGGAAGGTAGCCAACGCTCAGGGAATCTACTGAATTCATTCATTTGTTGAAGAATGATTTTTAACCACAGGTATGCTGGGCACTGAACAAGTGTTGGTAGACCAAGGTGGCACAGAAAGTGACTTAGGGACATCTATGAGGGGGTTTCAAAAGTTTGTGGGAAAATGGAGTGAAGACGTAGTGGAGTTTTGCTATGAACTTTAGGAAATTCCTTCATGTTTGAACCCATGTGATAGCAGAAAATCTAGACTCCAAAATAAAAAACGTCTGAAACAAGAAACATACAGTAGGGAAGCTGGAGGGTTTTTTATTTTTTTAAATTAAATTTCTTAGAACCAGTTGCCTTCAAGTCAACCCTGATTCATGTCGACCACATATATCAGAGCACATATAACCGTTCTTCTGAGGCACTTCTGGTAGATTCAAATCTTTCCACCTTTTGGATTAACTGTCTGTCTGTCTGCACCACCCACAGACTCCAGCGCGCTCTCTGTAAATTTACAGGATGTAGCTGTGCCCTTGGCTGAGATACAACTGTCCTTACTTACCATATAAAGCTAGAGAGTGTCTGTGCTCTAGAAAGACTTCTTTAATGTTGAGGGAAAATGCAGCACATTCAGTGACAGGTTATTGGTCTTCAACTCATTGAAGCAGAGTCTTGGGATGAGGGAGTAGAAGGGCAGAAACTCAACTGCTAGAAGGTTGTTGTTTGCCGTGGAGTCGGTTCCGGCTCATAGCATCCCTGTACAGGGTTTCCGAGGCTGTAAATCTTTACGGGAGCAGAAAGCCTCATCTTTCCCCCACGGAGCAGCTGGTAGTTTTGAACTGCTGACCTTGCGGCTCGCAGCCCGATTCGTAACCACTATGCTACCAGGTTAGGAGGTGAAGACTCATGAAAAGAAGACTGAAAGGCTAACTGAAGTCAGTGGGCAAATGTTATTTCATTTATCACTTCTCAGTTCCCATTCACTTTTACAGGAACCTAGTAAGATAAGACAGGCGCTCAGGTGGCAAAATGGGTCTGTGCTTGTCTGATAGCTAAAAGGTCAGTGATTACAATCTACTAGTGGTTTCTCGGGAGAAAAGGCCTGTAAAGATTACAGCCTAGGGATCCATGTGGGCAGTTCTCCTCTGTCCTATTGGGTCCCCAGAGTTGGAATCGACTCTATAGCACACAACAGCAGTGAGATAGGGACAAGCTCACTAGGAACAGGAATTTGAGTGCTCCAGACATTTATTCATCTTTTAGAAGACAGGCCTTTGCAATGGGAAACAAAGGTGGTTGGACTAACCATAGAATTTCCAGACCTGAACTTTGTCCTCTAGGGTTCACAATCCAGTTAGGAGATGAAATCCATCTAACTTATGAACCAAAATGAGGACCACTGTCAAGAAGTCTTGGAATCAATTTTTTTTTTTAAATCAGCATTTAACACTCAGTGGAGCAGTTTTGATAGTAAATATTAGCTTGAGTTGGGTATTCAGTGGTCCATGCTGTTGAACGGAATTGGCATGACGATAATTGACTGGGGAGGAATAGGCTCTCAAAGTTTCCAAATAACCCCAATCATCAGCTACTTCTTCCCACCAGGTAACTGTCACGATTGGACTCCGATACCTGCACACAGCACTGGACGGTGTGTCCAACCCAGAGGACCCAGAATGTGAACGTGAGAGTGAGGGCTGGCTCCTGGAGAGGAGCGTGCTGGAGACATGGAAAGCCTTCCTGGAGAGCCTAAAGCAGCTGGGCAAGAGCAACCAAGTGGACGCCCAGGATGAGGATGCAGGCCAGGCCCCAGAAGCCAGCTGAAGACCCAGTGTCCTTTCCGCTCCTGAACACTGAGAAGTAGTAAGACTTTAAGAAATCAGATGCCCCCTGGTCTAACTGCAAGCCTGAACCTTCTAAGGAGAGTACCATTTTCCAGAGACTCTTCAGATGGTGGGATTGAACCTTTAGGGTCTCTGAAAAGATTTGAACATTTGTGGAAAGATGACTCAAAATATGAATGGATGAGCCCCCACACAGTTCCACTGCCCTAGGATATGACCTTTGGGGTGCATACAGAGAATGCCTCTATTTTTCTCCACCTTTGGAGTTTCTCAGTGGATGACCACACTTGGCACCTATCTGTCTCCAAAGCACAAGAATTCAGTCCCATCCTCAGGCTACTTACTGGCCATACCTAAGGGCTGCTCCTACCTTGAGTTTGCCTGGTGTGAGTTGGCAGTTGCTTCAGGCTAAATCCAGAGCATCACTCGGAGTGTGAAAAACGCACTGACCCTGTGTCACTTTATTGGAATGCCAAAACTAAAAGTGGTGGAAGGTGGGAGGCAGTTGCACTTTTCTAAGAGTAATGGACTTTTCACAGCCTTGATGGCTCACAAGAGGAATGCATCAACCGTGGGGCCAGGGAATTTTAAGACAGGGGATAATTTTCCTCCTCCAAATATAATAGGTCTGCTTTTGTGTTACTCACTTGACCCGTAGGGAGCTATGACAGAGGAAGTCAGATTGTTCTAGCAACACTGCAGGCCTGAAGTACAGTTTGATCTCCTTTAGCTTGTCTGTCAAGCACTGGGCTGCATCACTGCCCTTCTGTGTAAGATGTGTGAAACTCAGACAAGAGTTTACCCTTTGGAACAGACTGAACCGCTTTGGTGGCCCAAGGACAACCACATAGGTGACCATGACAGTCCCCACGGATATTAGATGTCCCCAGAGGAGGGTGAGGAGTCTTGGAGAGCTTCTTCCCACTTCCTTGCTCAGACATACCTTCTGCAAAGAGCTCACCTTCCCAAGGCAGCAAGCAAGTGCAACACTTCTACTTCCGCAGGAACTAGAGAAATAGGAAGCAGTCAGGAGAAGGCACGATTTCACTGTGTCCACACCACCCACACCACGGCAGGCTCAGCATATTCTAGCAGCTGGGCAGGCTCAGCATATTCTAGCAGCTGGGTGAACAATCAAGAAGCTCACCTGGCTAGAGACCAAAGGTGGAGGAATAAAACGTTGTTAAGGGAACCACCCACAACTTAACCTCTGCTTCTGACTGAGCAATGGTGTTTTGCAACGAACTGCTTTGGACTGTTTGGGTTCATTGCTGTCCCACCTAGTTTCAGTGTGAAGAAAACAGGGCTTCTGCTATGGCCTGGGGTATGCCCCAGGACCCTAATTCTCAGACCGAAGACCAGGCCGCAATGTTCTGACCCCTGGCCCCAGGTTCAACTAGACTTTGAGTCTCCTTGAGACCCAGTAATGAGCCACACTGAAACAGCTGCAGGTCCCCAAGCCCTTACACCCTCTCTGCTGCACTAGACTCACATGCATAACTGTGCTGGTAACAGCTTTACAATAGCCGTTAAACATGACACCGCACAAAAATCATTTTTGTTAAATGAGTATCTTAGACCATTCAACAGCATGTACCACAGAAATCTCAACTTTAGCTAATATAACCTAAAAAAAGCAAGAAAGACATTAAAAAGGAAGCATTATTCATGATTAGGAATGCGGTTTCCACATGGGTCTCACCTCTCTCCCTCCTGCAGCCTTCATCTACAAGAACAATGACTACTACGATATTCCAGTCATCTCAACACTTACTAGTTTGGGCCAGAGTTAAATTTATTGAATATGTGAGATTTTCCAACAATCCCCTCACCCTTGCTAAAATAAACCATAGGGCTTCAAAACGTTTGTCGAAAAATGGAATGAAGATACTGGAATTCTTCCATGAACTTCTGGAAGTCCCCTCTTATTTTCTTAAATAGGGAAATGCGAGCCTCTCTAGGGCCAAGCTATGGGGCAGACGTAGCAACCTGTGAACCTGAACGCTAAGGGGAGGACCAAGGGCAAAACGACCCAACAGTAAATCCTGCCAGGTGGCCCAGAGCTCACTTAGGGTTGCCAGGACTGTAATAGGTCTTCTTAGGAAGCTGCTAGAGAAACCCGGCCCGCCCTTCTTCTGGCCACCTACCTGGATGCAGCAAGACTCCGACACACTAGGTTCCCCCTTGTGCCTAACTTCAGTTTCTCCTTGGGCCAGTATAAACTCCTTCCTCTTAAGGGGCTCAGACAGTTTCTAAAGTCCTGCCAGGCCGGCTCTGGGTGGGGTCAGAGCAAAGACAGGGCTTTATGACTTTCATTTGTGTCGGGGACCCGCCTCGACATAGGGGTTCGGTTCACGAGGAGAGGATACCTGACGGCGATTCATATATATCAAGAATACACAGAAGGAGACAAAGAGAGAGACAAAGAGACACTCCGAAACCAGAGTGAATGCTGGACTGGCATCAGGCAGATCCTGCATTGTAAACATCTCAGCCACGAAGGCCGTAATATCCTGCATAGTGAACATTTTAGCTAAACAGGCAGTATGGTTGCAAGGCTGGACTGTGCACCCTGCATTCGTTCTGCGCCTTCCTTTTATTTAGGGGAGGAGTTTCACACTAAGCTGGGAGGGACTTAGGCAAGGTACAGCTAACATCAGTACTTTTCCAGACATTCAGGTAACTTTACATCGTACTTCGCTGGTTCGAATCCCAGGCCAGTAACTTGGATTCTCAGGCTCAATTAACATATCTATAGCCCCTGAGCTAAGTTGGGGCAAGGTGAGAGTAATGACAAAAGCTTGGGCGGAGTCCCACTGTTTCGGCTTCCTGAGCCAGGTTTTCAGGAGGACTGGAGATGCCCAGGTGAATGGGCTGCACCTGGAAAAGGATTAGGGAGGATGGGTTTTTTGTCCGTAGAGCAAAGAACTGTGAAGTAGCTAAGATGTTTTTAGTTAATCCTTTGGAGAAAGGCTTAACCTTGCAACCTTTAGTCTCGGCTTTAGGAAAATATCACATTTATCTGTGGATTATCAAAGGCTCCGTGTATTAATTTAATATATATAACTGAATATTAATATGAAAGCAATTTGCCATTAACTGCCAGTGGCCTCATTTGTTACACTCGGCCCTAGAGGGCCTTGAACCTCTGACTAGTCTTACACGGTCCGTAACACATTTGTAAAACAGTCACCCAGAAGTGAAGAAGCAGGTCATAGGTACTTATTCTCATTTTTAGAAAGGGAAGCGTTCTAGGATAAAGTGGCCTCACTTCAAGAACTGCAAAATGCTCCTAGCATAGGACTGACCTCAATGCCAGCTAATTAGATTAGGAGCTTGTTCTGCACAGCCCCATCGTGCCTTCTCTGGTACCTGTAAAGCTAGACAAGCAGATTTGCAGGTTAGCCAGGGCAGGGGCGGACCAAGACATTTTAGGACCTCTTACTCCTAACAAGAAGGCTCTGGGTGAGCGTGGCAGACAGCAGTGCTGTGCCTGAGGAGGAGGAATGGTCTGAGCAACACTGGGGAACTGCAGGGGGTAGGGGAGGGGGACTTTCCAGTTCTCACTGGATATATATGATTAGCTTGAAGGGAGAAAGCATCCGTTTTACTCCTGATGGCATTATACCCGATCCTTCAAATCAAAGGATGAGTGTACACGGCAAGTTAAGACATTAGAGAATGCTGTGTTTCCAGGGTAGTGTGGGGTGAAGATATACAACACACCCTAGCTGTTCACCCAAGGGAAATGAGCGTGCTTAGAGAGGCTTTATTCATAATTGCAAAAAACCACCCAAACATCCTTTACCTGGAGAGCACACAAACATCTGTTCAGTGGACTACTGCTCAGCAATTCAAAGGGGTACAGCATACAGTAACTCTCTGATGTCTTCTTATGAAAGAAGTTAGGCGGGAAAGGCTACATAGATAATCCTCTTTACAGGAGATAGGGACACAGTCTGATGCTCTCCTCAGTGCCTGCGTCTCCTCAGCAGCAAGTCTGGGGAGTGTGTGGACTCGAGCCTGCAGGTAGCAGGTTAAGATGAACACAGGGTTCAGGAAGGATGTTGTGTTCACCTTGGAGCTGTGGGGGAGGCTTCAAGTGCCTTATTTTCCCAGTGATTTGAGGTCTACACAGTCCAGAAAGATTGGTCACAAGCTGTCACAGTCAATGAATATGAAACATAATCAGATGAAATGCTGATCAAGCTTTTGCTGGGATGGTGAAGATGGTTTGGCTAGTGACCATAATTGACACAAATCATATAAGCACCTTAAATTTCAAGCAAATACAGGTGCCCCACTTTATCTGTAGCAGGTTGCTAATAGGGAATACTTCCGTGGTATTTTAGTACATGAAAACAAAAACAGAGATGTAGGCTGACCCAAAGTAATGCCAACACCTAAAGCATTTATTTGGAGATCTTTAAACTTTTTACATATTATACATTCCAGATTTTACAAGTTGTCCACAGATCAATTTATTAAACATATGATTTTCCCTGATTTGGAAAGCATGTTATATAAACATTTCTACAATAAACATAATACATGCGGAACAAATCATAAAACTAAGATGGTTCATTAGAAGGAAGACAATTAGCTTACCAACTCACACACTGGATGAGGAAAGAGTGTGCTTTTATTTCATGTAAGTCATATTCTCTGAGAGTCCCTGACATTTGCAGAGAAGGGAGGCCAGGGACCCCTGTGAACCTCAGGCTCCTGTGAAGCTGGAGTATTGCTAAGTCTCTATAAATGTCCATTGTCACTGACAGAGGAAGAGCTTGGTGAACACATGGAGAAAGGAAGCTGGACTTAAAAGCTAAAGAAAGTGGGGTGCAATAGGAGCCAAAATAAGCATTGAAATCATTTTATCACCCATCTACACCTAGATCTTAAGAACGCAAGAAAGGACAGAAAGCTGATCTGAATTTGGATTTTCTTCTTGTTGGTCCTCCTGAGCTGGGTGACCAGTCCCACCAAGCCAGGAGGGGCAAGGCCATCCTTTCCAGAGGCGGTGGTTCCTTCTTACACTGCCCTGGAGAGGAGCCACTGAATGCTGCTTCTGCAACCCTACTTACTTTGGCTTCAGGTGTGGGTTTCTGCCTTCCACCTGAGCATGCTAGGTAGTACGTACGGCTCAGTGGAATGGACCTTGTAGATGCAATTCAAAGACAAAAAGCAACCCTCCAACGGCCAAAAATGATTCATTTGTTTCCTACCCTGCCTTAGGGAGGCTCAGGGTTCATTCCTCTGTTAAATCTGCTGTCAGCCACGATGCGCAGTCTAGCTCTCCGAGATGCACATCACACAAGAGTGGCTGTGTGGTACATGGTGGCTTTAAGCCATTTTCCTAAGTGGCTATCATTCTAGGAAAGCACCTCTTAGTAAGAACAATCCTACTTTCTAGAGAAACACAAAAAAAACCTGGGGTCACAGGCTGTCCCAGGAACCAAGCAATATTCCTCTGTATCAGGAAGTGCCTGGAGGGATGACGGTTCAGGTGGGGGAATCTCAAAACATCAGATTCATAATTTTCCACTAGTGTCTGATTCTAGATATGCACATTAGAGAAAAGTACTGTCTGAAAAATTAGGATATATTCATGAAGTTTTCTTAAAAAGCCCTTTAAAGTGAGTTTCTTTCTCGCAAACCCAAAAGACTCATGAAAAAAAAAAAAGGTAACACTGAACCCAGCCTTCCAGTCTCCCCACGTCCTCCCCGTGAGCTCCTCCTACACAGGTGCCTGGAACGCTCTCTCAGCGGATGGAGATAGGAACAGCGAGGGGCTCTGGAGCAGAGGGGAAAAATTAACCCAATCCCTGTGGGGAGCCACTGACAAGCACCAGAAAGTGTGAGACCCAAAGACCCTGAGACGTGGCTTTCTGTTTCTGCCAGGCCCCACCGTGGCCACGCCTGCAGCTTGTGCACTGACTCCATGAAATGCCTCTGGTCATATCAGTCAGACTTCCACCAAAGGCTGGGCTTCTCATGAGACCCTCTATCCCCAAACAAGTTACATTCAGGCTAACAGCAAATGAGGCAAGGGAATCTGCTGACGAAGATGATTTCCTAGGCAGTCCCTAGAGCCAGAGCTACAAAAATAAAACTGGGAAGGAAAGCTTAAATAAAGAATTTATTTCCAAATTCAGTAGACCTGATTTCCTATTCTTTCTTGAAAAGTCAATGGGATTACAAAAATCAAAGTTCATGTTTTGGTAGTTGAAGTACTTATAAATGCTGCCAGTCAATGCCAACCAGTGTCTGATTGGCTTCCTGTGCGTGGCCAATTTCCTCTGTGATGCTGTGTTGCTGCCAGAGCTTCTGGATCTTCTTAAACCGCTCTGTGCACAAGTGTAAAGGATTGCCCCGTCTGCAGAGAAGACATGTGTCACTGAGGTGTCCTCTGGGAGGGGCTTCAAAACATTTGTGTAAAATGATATGAAAAGAGAATGAAATTTTCCCACAAACGTTTTGAAGCCCCTGTTTTATATATTTGTTTACCCCAGTCCTTCCTGTTGGAAGAAAGATTATGGTCTTAGACCCTCTGCAAAACTCCCGTGCAGCAAGTGACTGTGGATATGAATACATTAGTTGAACTAGTGTCTGCTGAAAAGAATACACAAGTTACACTCACCCAAAGTGGCAGTGACAAATAGGGTGGCAGTGGGACACAAGGGTCTGGTTTGAGAGGCTAAAATGACTCCCTTGTATATTTTGTTGGTAAATGTCAGGATAAAAGGGGAGAAAGAGGAAGGATAGTTGCAGGAATAAAAATGTTCCTCAGAGTGCCAAGTCTCCAAGTTAGCAAGTCTAAATAAGCAAAGAGCAGTCCAATGTGATTAACTTCAGCAGGCTTGAACTTACCAGCAAGGTTTGAGTGATCTCATGCTGTGCACCTCTGCTCCCAAGTGAGACTTCTAGCCCCGCAACCCCCCACTGTCACTCTCTAACCAGGCAGGGCTGTGCCACCTGAAAGCACACAGTCCTTGGCTAGGTGGTGTAACTCTGCAGTCTAGTGCCTGGGGTAGCTCATTGACTTCTCTTGCCTTGGTTCCCAGGATTTCAACTTCCCTTCCTGAGACTGCACAGTCACATCTAGGTCAAAACGTTTACCTCCTTTTGAGGAAAGAGAAACAGACTAAATAAAGTTCTTTTAACAGTGCTTGAGGGAAACACTATTAGCATTTTGCTTATAATACAAACGACCAGACAGTGGGGTCGACCTCAGGGCTGCATGGCTCAGCTAGCTTGCTCACTATGTACTGAAGGGCTCTAGGCACCCAGAATCAGACAACCCAGCCCCAGGATGGAACTTACTTGAGTCCCTGGTCTGTTTCCCCATAGTCATCAAGGTAAGGAGGAGCATAAAAACAGCCTTTGGTTTTTCCGGCTAAAAATAGCACCTGACATTCTCGTACTCTGCAAAGAGACCATTACGCATAGCATTTAGACATTAGTAAGTGAGGTTTATACGAGTCCAGGTGGCACAGTGGTTAAAGCATGTGACTGTGAACTAAAAGGTTGGTGGTTCAAACTCACCAGCTACTCCCAAGGAGAAATATGTAGCAGTTTGCTTCCATAGAGATTCCAGTCTTGGAAACCCTATGGGGCAGTTTTACTCAGATCTATAGGAGTCCTGGTGTGGTGCTGCTACAGCATAAAGCACTGGACTGCAAGGTTGGTTTGAGCCACAAGGTCGGCAGTTCAAACTTAATCAGCTGCTTCTTGGAAACTCTATAGAGTCGCTATGAGTCAGAATCGATTCGACAGTCCTTGACAACAAATAACAACAACATAAGGTCACTATGAGTTGATGGCAAAGGGTTGCGTTTGGTTTAAATAAGACTCGGATTTAGTTCTGAATGGACTGATAAAACAAAACAACCAACCACACCAAATTCACTGCCAATGAGTCAATTCCCACTCCAATTCCAGCAGAACTGCTCCGTAGGGTTTCTGAGGCTGAAATCTTTCTTTATTGGAACAAACAGCCTCATCGTTCTCCCACAGAGTGGCTGGTGGGTTTGAACTGCCTATCTTGTGGTGAGCAGCCCAATGCTTAACCCACGGTACCACCAGACTGCCTTAAAAGGACTGAAATCTTAAAAACTAAACAAACGCAGTGCTAGAACAGAGAAATAACATTCACAGCTGAGTATCAACACATTTGTTCAAATTTTCAAAACCATTCAAATGATTATCGAGTGCTTCAGTACAGAGAGGGAAGGACTCCTCAGGCTAGGTGCTGACAGCTGATATGACAGTGACACTGGAAAACTGTTAGGTGTGGGAAAGAAAATGAACTTCTAAACATGAAATCAATCCACACAGACCCACTGCCATTGAGTCGATTCCAAGTCATGGCGGTCCTATACAGGGTTTCCTAGACTCTAAATCTTTATGAGCACAGACAGCCTCATCTTTCTCCTGTGGAGTGCTGGTGGGTTTGAACCGCTGATCTTGTGGTTAGCAGCCCAACACTTAATTCAATACATAGCTCCAGCAAAACTCTTAAACATAAAATGTTGTTGTTGTTAAGTGCCTTTGAGTGGGTTCCGACCCACAGAGACCCTGTATAGGGTTTCCAAGGAACGGTTGTGAGCTTGAACCACTGACCATGTGGTTCAAACTGACTTTGCAGTCCAGCGCCTTTGCTCACAGCACCCCACAAGGATTCCAAACATAAAATTGTTGTGAAGTGCCATCGAGTCGGTTTCGACCCATAGCAACCCTGTATAGGGTTTCCAAAGAGTGACTGGTGAGCTTGAACTGCCGACCTTGCAGTTCAAACAGCTTTGCAGTCTGGCGCATTAACCCACAGCGCCACACCAATAGGTACCTATATTTTAACCATTAACACTACTTACTTTATCCACGACCAAAAGAATCTCGAAATATGCCGATTTTCCATTTTTTCCAAGGGTTATTTAAAAATTTGCACCCTGATTGATCCCTTTGAGATATTTGCCTGTTACGTGTCATCGAGTCTGTTCTGACATATTTTTCTAATCAATCTTATTTTTTACCTCCCTTACCAGAGAGTAAGCTCCATGAGAACAGAACATTTTTGTCTGCTTTGCCAACAACATTCGTTTTACATAGTGCTAGTGTGTGGTGTGGCGCTGTGGACTAATGCGTCAGACTGCAAAATCGCTTAAACTGCAAGGTCAGTGGTTCAAGCTCACCAGCTGCTCCTTGGAAACCCTATACAGGGTCGCTATGGGTCAGAATCAACTCAATGGCACTTAAACAACAACAGTGCCATCAAGTCGGATCCCACTCATAATGACCCTGTGTAGGATTCCCAAGGAGTGGCTGGTGGGTTTGAACTGCTGACCTCGTGGTTAGCAGTCCAGTGCTTATCCTACAGATCCACAGCAATAGGCAGTAGATAAACATCTGTTGAACGTATACAACTATTCATGTTAGGTGGGGAGTAGGGGAAGGAGGAGGCTCGATGGTAAGAAAGAACTGACACAAAGCTGAGTCCAATGTGAGCCATGAGAAGAGAGGCTCCTCATGTTCTCCCAAATGAGTAAACTACATGACACCCATGGTCTAAACGTTCTCTGCAATCTTGTAGTGTCTTGTGCCACCCCCTTAACAGGCACACGATGAGGTAGGTTCAAAGCTCAGACGGGCTCCCTGCAGGGCCTTACCTCAGGAAGATGCCCACCCCAGAGCCACAGGAGTAGGTGTGTGCTGTGCAGGCTCCCACGTCCTCCCCTTCCAGCTCTGTCTGGCAGCAGTAGCTCTGGGAGCACAGCAGGCTTCCACATACAAGGCACAGTGTGGGGGCTCTGCTCTTATCCCCACCTGATTTGGGGCACCTCCATGGGACAGAAAAATCACAAGTCATTTCTTTCAAATGGAAAAGAATATTCCAATATCAAGTAGAGCTACAGATAATTGAAGTGCACAGAATAAATTATCCAATGGGCCATATATAGGTATACATACATACATATACACACACACACATACAAACATATATATATATACATATATATATATAGGTAACAAAACATGCCCTGGAAACAACCAAATAATTATCAATAGGAGAACAAGATAAATAAATTGTGCTTTGTCGTGTAATAATATACTATACACAGTAGGTTAAAAAACAAAATCAACAAATTAAAGCATAAATCCCAATATGGATTAATTTTACACACAATGCTGAGTGAAGATGGCTGTAGAAAAAACAGTATAAAACCATTTTAAAAGTTGAAAACATACAGACTACTACTGCAGTTGCTAGCATAGCATATAAATGCACAGGAATGCTCAGTACTACACTTAAGGACAGTGGGTCTCTCAGGGGAAAGGAGCATCACAGGGTCTTGGGCATGTTTAATTTCTTACACAGCTGTACTAGTCTTTTTGCCACTTTAGATGTACAACATTTAATTAATACTATTAAACACTGTTAAAGGCATATTATTATTTAGATAACCTTTTTGTGAATCAAACTTGTCCCCGCGCTTGAATCTAATCCTGAAACTTGGCAGAATAATGCTTATACAAGAAGCTAGGCACAGTAAAGTACAACGGACGCAATGAGTTCCCTACCCAACCCAGGTGACGAGCAAAACCTTCTAGAGCTCAATTCTCTAATATTAAAACTTACGAGAAATTAGATGCTTGATTAATGAGGCTGCTGTAATCCTCTGGTAGGTCTATTAATTTGTTAGATTCTCTTGGATAGCTAAAAAAAAAAAAAAAATTTTTTTTCCCAGTTAACATGAGGTCATATTTAATGACAACAGGGTAACTTAATGTAGTCAAAACAAATATAAGATGATTTTGAAGCTGAGTGATTGTATACTACCCATAGTGTTATGTGTAAGAAGCTAAATAATAATAATAAAGCATCCTTAAATGACACAGTCTTCTTGTTCTATCGTTATTTTTGGTTTTCTATTGTGAATTGAGTGAAGGTAAACAGACAAGACCATCAGTTTTACTAGCAATCATATGTTTTATTCCATCTCAATGATTATAGTCCCCTCCCTGTAACAAGTGATCCTGCTTTCTCCCTGTGACTGCCCTTTCACAAATGAACAAAGCAAAAATATTTGAGGCACACATACAAAACAAAAAATATATGTTCATTTAAATGTCCAAAGGGCACATTTTGCCAGCCAGTTAGTCTTTTTAATTGAAGTGCTCATAATAAATTATCAGGACAGTGGTGATGATACTTGGTATCACCAAACCCAAACCCAATATCATGGAGTTGATTCTGACTCATTGTGACCATACAGGCCAGAGCAGAACTGCCACATGGGGTCTCCAAGATTGTTAATCACCACGGAAACAGACGGCCACATTTTTCTCCCTCCAGTGGTAGGAGTCCTGGTGTGGCACTGAAGGATAAGTGCTGAACCGCAAGGTGCAAATCCATCAGTCGCTCCTTGGAAATTCTATATATAAGAACCTGCTCGCTGGCACTTAGCAACTAACAACAATGGCTGGTAGGTTCTAATCACTGACTTTTCAATTGAATCTACGACTTCTTAGTGAGCAGCCAGATGTTTAACCACTGCACTATTAGGGCTCTGAGTCTGCCCCACTGAAGTACACTTTGGTAGCTCTGGGAAGCAGGCGAGGAACAGAAAATGACACTTATCCCTGGGATACCTAACCAACACTGTCCTACAGTACTGTCCTATAGAGTCCAACCACAGAACTTAGGATCTGAAAGACAGAAAGGCTATGCAGGCTTATTAGGGGTGATCTTAGAGCAGAAATGAGTTGGAGGAGAGAGGCAGTAACAGATGGATTTCCCTTCCATTAGAGATCCCAGGCCACTTTGATTCTGTCATTAATTTAGATGCATACGCAACTAGTATTTGAGGACCACCTCTCAGTGTTAGTCCCCTTACCTGCCCAGCAAGAGAGCACTTTACCTACTACAAAGATGAGACCTGGATTTAACCTGAGGGGGCAACATTTTAGACAGTAGTTCTTAGTCAGGATTATATACCAGGAACTCTTGAGGATTCTAGGGGGGATATACATGCTGGGACCCTTCATGGATATTAATCAGCAAAAATCCGATCCTCAACTTCCAAGGAGTAATCAAACCCCACTTTTAGACTTCTTTGTAATTTCTGATAGCAGCAGCTCACATGGTACCCTCTCCCTGAGCCTAGCCACTATGAGCTTGGGCAGATCTCACAAGGTAAAAGGACATTGTCCTCCAGATTGCTAAACAGCCTGCAAGTTTAGGGTGTTCATATAACATTCAAATGTTTGACCTGTTAGTCACAGATTTGACGTTTCCCAGCTTAGCGCTTGGGGACCGCCTCAGGTTCCCTCACTGTCACCTGATGACTCTCTCTACCCAATTCCTTTTGGCTTGATAATTTACAAAGAACTCACAGTAAGTACTATACTTACTATTACAGATTCATTATAGCAAAATAATACAAATTAGGATCATCACAGGGAGAAGATACACGGGCAAGGCCTGCTGGGATCCCAACATGGGGCTCCCAGCTCCTCCGTGTCAGAGCTTTTACCAGCCAGTCATGACTGAGCCCTCACTGCACATACATGACTAGCTAAATTGTGCCTCCTGAGGTTAGCTGACATTGGCCTGGCAGGTCAGCCTTGACTTGTTAGCAAAAATCCTCAGGAGGTATGAGCTGTAGGTTTCAAATAAAGGCATTGCAAGTACTAGCAGGATTACTTCACAGAAACCAAGGACAAAGGCTAAAACGGGCTCCCATTACCACACACCCCCCCCAGTTTTAGAGACACTGGATTTGATAGATAGGTTTGAGTATTTTTTTTAAATGTCTAAAGTTATACTAAATAGCCCCAGTGGCACAATGGTAAAGCACTTAGCGGCAGGAAAAAAGATCTGCTGATCTGCCCAGTAAAGATTACAACCTCAGATATCCTATGTGGCAGTTCTACTGTCCTATGTTCTTTTTAAAAAATATTTTATTGTGAATTATGTGATAGTTTACATGAGAGAACATTAGTTTTACATTCATCCTATAGTATATCATTTAATTGCTATGGTTACAATCCTCTCCATGCATCATCAACCAACCAAAGGGTATATACTGCAAGCCTGTCCCCCGGTCATCAGCACACAGCCCCTCTTCCTCTCTGTGTCTAAAGTCCCCAACACTTCCATCTCTCTACGTCATCGTCTCAGGCATCACTGTTTCTCTGGGTAGGGTCCCGACGCTCTCTGCTCTTCTCCCTTGATGGTCTCAGGGACCTCCGCTCTTAGGCTGAAAAGTTAATAACTCCCTTCCTTGCTAAAAAATGTCTACCTTTACAATTATAGCCCTCACAAGTAGTATTTGTTGTTGTTATGTGCTGCGGAGTAGGTTCCGACGCATAGCGACCCTGTACAGGGTTTCCAAGGCTGTAAATCTTTACGGGAGCAGAAAGCCTCATCTTTCTCCCGCAGAACAGCTGGTAGTTTCGAACTGCTGACCTTGAGGTTTGCAGCCAATTCGTAACCACTATTTGTTGTTGTTGTTGTAATTAAGTGCCGCCAACCACTATAGGTAACAATTATTCAGTATTGCATCACAAGACATCCATCCGGATTCCATTTCATCAGCCCCACCTAGACAGATTGTATACTACTCAGTGGAGATTCTACCTTCCTCGATGCCCTATGAATCTAGCTTCCCTCTTGAAAGCTTGTAAGCCCGTCACTTCTTGCCTTTGTAGCCCCCCATTTTGGGTAGCCAATATCCAAGTTGCCCATCCCTGTCTACTCTGTTTATGGAGAGGGTGGGAATGATCCTTGTTTTAAGAATTTGTTCCCTCTTTTGAGCTACTGCATCCATAGGTGTAGGTCAAGTTCATCAAATTGTATCAGATTATGCTTTTTTCCCTCTTCTTTCTTCTTCCGGTTGAGCTCTGATCATCCAGTCATTGAAGGCAGGTCAAGTGGGTATTATCTTCAAGTGTGGGTGTTCTTGTGCATATGCCCTCTCTTCTTATCCGCTGGACGCTTCACTCTGCACTCTAGTCCTCTGTGGCTATCCTATGTTCTTGTCGGTTCTGACTCATAGCAACCCTGTATAGGGTTTCCAAGGAACAGCTGGTGGCTTTGAACTGCTGACCTGTGCAGATCCTATAGCGCCACACTAAGAGTCTATGTTGTTGTTAAGTAACGTCGAGTTGGTTCCGACCCATAGCGACCCTGTCTAGGGTTTCTGAGGAGCTGCTGGTGAGTGACCAGTGATTTCATATAAAGAAATGATCTGATCTTACATCACGGTGCGCCTTTTCATGGAGCACATGTACCACCTGTAAGTGTTACTGGAAAACAAATACTGAGCTTGATCAAGCCTCTGAGATCTAATTATATGAACTAGCTCTTAGAAGAACTTGACACAACATGGGGACACAATCAGAAAAATTCAGGCTATAGAATACTTTACATGACAAATTACTCCATTTTTTTCAACAAATAAATAGGAAGAGGCACCTTTAGTTTAAAGAGGCTTACGAGCTATACCAACCAATTGGAATACTTGTATAAACCTAATTTAGATCCTGGATCAAATAAACTATAAATATAAAAAAATTACTGGCCATGATTTGATAATTACTGAAGCTATGTGTCAGGTAGCTGTGGCCTCATACTATTCCAATTTTAAATAGTTTGAAAGTTTCCACAATAATAAATAAAACAATTAAAAAAACAGAGTTAAGGAAAACCTAAAAAGGGCCCAACAGTTTAAAAAAGGCAAATGTTCTAAAATATAACAATTTTATTTATTTCTTCTGCCAAGAATAATGCGTAAAATATTTGTAAGCGTAATTCTGATGCTTTTACAAATTCTTATCATCAGCTTAATAAGAAAGTAAGTATGAGGGCAAGAGTCTGACCTCTTGGAATCACTGAAGGTTTTGGGAGGCCAATTTTAAAGAAATACAGCATTTACATCCTGATTCCTCCCTACCCCCCATCCCAAACAAGTTGTTCACAATCTTTAGCTTACCTTATAGCATCTCTTTCACCTTCTAGATACCTTGTAACTTCATTGTGATGACACCAACTTGAATGTAAACGGGGAAAAAAATCCCATAAAACATTTTTAAAAAGCCAGAAGAATTCTCCCCTCACTCTAATTAAGTTATATTAAAAAATTATCTTCTTGGCGTAATAGAGCATATTTTGCTTAACCAAAAGTAGCTTGGAGAAAACCCATGTTTTTCCACAATATTTAAAATAAAAAAAATTTAATACATTAATTTGCAACTACAGATACTATAATTTCATTAATTCAGACACTCTGGGCAAACCAGTCTCAATGACAAACTCACAGGATATAGAGTTGATACATACATTTTTAATCTTAAATGTAGTCACTAACTAACCTGACATGATTCTTAAATAGGTTATTTTCTATAGGTTTCTAATTTTCTCAAATATAAAGTGAGAGTACTGACTAGTTAATTCTGAATATTTCTTTTAGCTCCAAAAAATCGATGGAGCAAAGTCCTTATGAATAAACATTTCTACCACATATCCCTTTGCCATAAAAATCTGCTTATGCTATTTATTAGTATGGCAAAAATCTTACTACACACAAAGTTCAACCCTTACAGCAAAGAAGGCTTAACCATTATAATCTGAATTACACAGGTTGAATTCTGCCAGGGTCACTATCTGAGAACTTTGCTAAATATGTAGCAAAGTTTGGTTTTGTATAAATATTCAATATAATGAAATAAAGTGTAAAGTGCACAATTATTACCTTTTAATCAGTGAATTCATTATTTCGCTGTTTTCTTGAAAAAGGCAAATGAGGTTGGTTGGTAGGGAAAGATAGTTACATAAATGTTCAAAATGGCTTGTCCCAGTAACTGCGAATGTAGAAGAAGACAAATTTAATGTTTTTAACAAGTAAGAATAGATCCTGGAAGGAAATAAGCAAACGTAGACCTGGAGAACCATCCAGCCAACCAATTAACCAAAACATAAGAGCTCAAATTTGCTATGTGTATAGCTTACAAGAAGCATAGTAAGCATACTCTGGTAGCATAGTAGTTATGAATCAGGCTGCAAACTGCAAAGTCAGCAGTTAGAAACTACCAGCTGCTCCATGGGAGAA